GAATGCTCGATACGTTGGTTGACATTACTCGCTCCGGAAGTTAAGAAAAAAGTGCACGTCCACAAGATGTATCGCACAAGCCAAGTGCAGGGGGAAGAAGAGAGTATTTGAAGTCCCAGACATCTCAATGAATGGAATGATAATTAAGTTGTTAAGGCCAAGCCTAAAACCATTGGCTCAAATCAGTTGGTTTGAATTAGGGAAAATGACATAAATAATTGTTGAACATTAACTCAATATGTAACGTGGTTCCTCAACTTTTAATTTGTTCAATATAGTCCCTGAACTTTTAATTTTTTCAATGTCGTTTCTGAACTTTTTGTGCATGTTTAATTTAGTCTTCGAAAGTCCATAAACATTTTTATATAATTTGGGCACTAAATGGAACATGTACCAAAATGTCGGAGATCACATTGAACAAATTAAAATATCAGGGATCAATTGAACATTAGGTTAAAGTTCAGGGACTACATCGAACAAATCAAAAGTTTAGGGACTATATTGCATGTTGGGCCAAAGTTCAGGGACTGTTTGTGTCATTATGCCTTTGAATTACGATTCTTGAATCATCATGGTAGATCGAGAAGGGCTATTAGTCTCACAAATACAACAAAATAGAAAGTAAAAACGAGGAAGAGAAATCGAGACATAAGGTTTTGTCTTGATTCATGTCACGCCCCGTACCCCACGAAGCGGGAGCATCCCACCTTCGGTCGATAAATTGCGACGTCCCAGGAAGCGTCGCCGACCCACGCCCATACAGAGATCAAGCACAAGCGGAAGTATAAAATAAACAAACCCAGACAATTACAATATGAGCCAAGGATAGCCATCCAATAAACAAGATTCAACGCAGAAAATATGTACATACTTATATTACTATTTTAAAACTCTTTTTAAAATGTTTCGGTTTACACAACCGTGAGACGAATCTCAGTGAGTTCAACCCCTAAACCTAGGCTAGGCTAGCATGCAATCTCCTGACTGGAAACAATTATTCAAATCACAATACCACAATAGTCAAACAATTATCTGACCCTGCAGGTTAGGCAGATCCACATAAAATAATCACGGCACATGCGTGGCATGCATAATTACACGTATGTCAATCACAAGCTCACACATCGAGTCTCACACACTCGCATGCCAATCAATGCATGTTTATGCATGCAAATGTCATTGACATGTCATGCACATTTCTTTGGCCCACTGGCCCACACACGCATTCTCGCACAATTTTCATCACATGCCTCACTCTTGGCATACGCAATGCGTGTCCATGTTATGCAATGCAATGAACCACGAGCACCAATATAATTCAGACAATCCGGGCATACCCGGCAATTTCACCGATGAACTCCTAAATTGGTCATTAAACCCTATTATCCTCCCCAACGATTTTCATTAATCCACTAAATTTTTCCGATAATAATTTCTACCAATCAATTTTCAACCCAGTCTCAATTACACACTGCTATTATCTAAGCCAGTCCAAAATGCACCACGGACGGGGAACAGTGATTCCGTACGGACGCGTGAACAGTACCACCCCCGTACGGACACAATGTACGGACGGCTGGGAACGGTGGCCGGCGAGGCGCCGGTCACGGCGGCGACCGGCGGTACTGTTTGTAAAACAGAAAAATGAGAAAAGAGGGAAAAAGGAGAGAGAGAGCTGTTTTTGGTCTATACCCGGGGCTGTGGTGGCTGCACAGAGGTGGAACTAGCTGCTGGTAGCTCTCGGCACCCTTGATCTAATGGACTAGATTTGATCAAATCCAATAATTTAGGGGTACAATGGTCTTTTGTCCCCTAACCATGGTTGACCAGACCTGGTTTAACCTTAACTCACCTTGGTTAATCCCAAAATTAAATCCAATTTTCGGAATTAATCAAAAATGGCCTAGGGGCATTTTCGTAATTTTCCGATCCCGAACCGAAATTAAAATAATATACTCCTGTTATGCGTAAAAATGGCAACTTACTAAAATGAAATGCGAAATAATATCAGTTTCATTGATCCCGGAAATTACATCGAAATTCGGGCTGTTACAATTCACCCTTAAACTAGGGCTACATCCAACAGAGTATTGTATTATATTTAGCATCTCCCACTTCCCCGTTACAATTATCAATTATAAGCAATAGCTATTCATGGGCCAAAAACCAAATAACCAATAAAATATAGACACAAATTATAAAAGCCTTCAGGCGTCGTGAGGGCTGCCCCCTACGACCCTCGCTGGGGCGGCCCTCTGGATCCCCATCTTTTATGTCGATGGGGAATATGAACCAGACCTCAATGTTAGCCACCATAAAAAAGACATTCGTTACCAAATTGAGTCAAGCAAAATGGATCGAAGAGTGTGTCCAAATGAGCCGGGACGACGGGCGAGCATGTCCGACCACCTCCACCAGACCCATGAATCGGTCTAATCAACGCACGCCTAAAATGTAGACGGATTCCATCTTTTCATTATCTACGGCCACACGAACACATGAAATGCTGAGAACAGAAGGGTTAGCAATGCAAGAAAAAGCGTCATAAGAGTAGCCGTCTCTTTCAAACTCGAAGAACCAACCCCACATAAACTACCCTCGAGAACACACATGGCTCGTACGCACCACAGGCCGTGGACCACCGTCCAAGAACGCGGGCCTCTCGCTGTCGGCACGAATGTCTCCGGGCCCGCTAAGAGGCCTCGGCTAATCATCTCTCGCTCTCGCGCTCGCTCGCTCGTGCTGTGGGCGGGCATGGTGACAAAAGCGAGTCTGACCAGTCCTAAGGACCAGTACGGCTCTGTGCATAGGCCCAAGATCAGTATTTCCAATGGATAAGAGGGACACCGCTTTGTAGCTTCTCTTGGCGCCTCGATAATTCTCAACCGTTTCTTCGTTGTCGATCCGCCTTTTACGCACATCGTACCGGTGATTTCACTGGACGTGCCACTAAGCGAAGATAGTGAAAGGGGCAGAGGATTTCGTTTCCCACGGGGGTGTATATCTACTGTGCTTGGGGTCAATATGTCCCTCATCACTAGGTGTGAGCGGTTCCAAATTTTTTGCAGGTTCCACATGAAACCTGAAAATTTATCCGTCGAAATAATTTCATCATTTGTTGAAACCTGAAACCTACTCTGCAAACCCTCGAACCTACAATGACAGGGTAAGTTCTAGGATTTAACATATTTTTTTTTTCATTTTTTTTTAGTTAAGCAAAATAAAAGTGAATGTAACAACAAAAATGAAAGCACCTTGTTTGTCGCACTCGCGAGGGATGACTCTTCTTCACCTCATCGCCTGACGATTCCGATTTTGTGATCAGAGTCATCTCCTCGCATCCCTCCACCTCCATCGACATGTTATGTTGATACATCAATTTTAGCACAATATAATTATAGGGCGTTCCTGTAATTAAAGCAATTAAGTGATTGATTAAAATCTAGATTATCGCCGTACATGTTAACATATTATGGCTATTTAGATTTTGAGAATGATTCGTTAAGTTCTATTGATAAGTAGAAAAACATCAAGAGCCATCCTCATTTTCAAACATGTATCATGGTCTTGTCACTTTTTTTAAGGTTAGGTCGTCTCCACCTCTCAGGCACCTGTTGATTGCCCCTTTATGCTTCATTCACAAATCCCACTGCATGCTGATAATCTTGCAACGGTATCGTTTGGCTGAAATTTGTTTCATGTGAATGTCACCTTGGATCACATGGCCGAAACGGATTTTGGGTCTTGGGTGAAAAAATTCGAGTTGAATGTTTAAAGGCAATTTTGGGAAAACTGAGTAACAGTACATGATTTTTTCATAGGAGTTTTGCAGCAGCCAAGTTCTCATGGAGAAGCTAAGGCTAGTTGGATAGGATATATTACTGCAAGGTGACCAAGAAGCTTTAGAATGGGGGATTTGATGAATTCTCATTCTTGTACACCCTTAGGGGCAAAGGAAAGGCCATGTGCATACCTTTAAAAGGAAGACTATTGACTTGTTTCATGCACAAAGCGCTCGGAGAAGCATGCGAGGCAATGCAGACGTTACATTTCTCGATTCCCCCGGTTCTCCATACTCGGTTCAAGAATCGAGAACCGGCTGTTCCTAAAAAAATGGAACTGGGAACCGGACTAGGGGCATTGGAACCCTGGAACCGGATTGGTTCCCACAGGTCCGGTTTCCCGATTCCCGATTTTACCCTGAAACCATGCTCACCCCTACTTGTCACAGATCAAAAACGTTTTTCCGTTCCGGTTCTAAAACAACATGCCTTTAAAAATTACAAATGCTATATGGTTCGAGAACGCCGATTTCATCTGCGAATGTGCTTTATTCATTTCATTTCATCATCGACGAACATAAGACGTCATGAATTGCGCATAGGGAAGATGAAAACGAACCGATTCACAACAGGCCTACGAGGTCGCGTCGAGGGCACAATGCGCCCCCGACCCGAGAGAGAGAGAGAGAGAGAGAGAGAGAGAGAGAGAGAGAGAGAGAGAGAGAGAGAGAGAGAGAGAAGGGCTCTATCCTTTTGGAAGTGGTGATTGGTGTTTCATTCAATTCGAGAGGAAGTCGGAAGTCAAATCGAAGTGGCCGATGGCGGGGGCACCAGATGGCTCGGGCATCGCATATGGTCAGGGGCAATGTCGGGCTGGATTTACGTGTTTGGGAGGGGAATTTCGCCATCCAACCTCGGGCCTACATGGGTCATAATTGTTGGGCTTGTGGCCCCATTATCATACCCAACGTTATTACATTCATTCAAGTATAATCTTTTGGCACATGAGTATCAACGGATCAGAGTGGCGCAGCGGAAGCGTGGTGGGCCCATAACCCACAGGTCCCAGGATCGAAACCTGGCTCTGATAAACCAGAGAAAAGCTTCAGGCATTGCCCCATCCCTTTTTTTTTGCTTCTCCTGTCCCTCTTTCTGTTTCATTGTTTTGACTCAATTTTTCTTCTTCATTGTTTCCCATTGGAGAGAGAGAGAGAGAGATTGTACATGTATTGTACATTAGTACTAAGTAGTCAGTGCTCATACAAAGTTTGCTGACACTGGTCATCACATTACTGCTGAGAGAAAGAAAAAGGACTCTCTGCAAACAGGAAACTAACCGCCACCATCTTTTTGGAGGCTGCTTATTGTCCTAAAAATAATACATCTTGATCTTAGCAAGGATGTGCTTCCATCAGCTAAAAACCAGTGGACACATCAGTCCATTGTAGCATCTCCCCTCCATTATTCAATGTTACACTCAAGCCTGATGTTGAGCTTCCATCAGATTTAGCTTGAAGGGATGTACGAGAGTTCCAACCGTCCTGTCCATTCCTCGCCCGGCTTGAGGGTGACCGGCTTCTCGATCACTGCCCCATCGACGCAGAGCATCTGTCGGTATTCTTCATCCCCGAAATCGGTCATGGACCTGGATTTCTTCTCCCATGGATTCCAAACCACTGTGTGGACATGCAGTCACAGCAACCACGAAAATTAGACAGTGTGGTAATGTATTCGGGACATGCTACTTGTTTTTTTTTTCTTTTTCCTTTTCAGCTAAGCGACATGGTAACCAGGAGGATATGGACTAAAGTGACGCAGGATATTCTAGCTTAATCAATGTGTCTTAGGACCGAATCGCATGAGAAATGGGTATTGAGACGACATAACTTCTTGATTGCATCTAAACCAAGGAGCACCTAATGATGGTGGCAGAATAGACAGTGACGGCATTAAGGTACATATGATTCTTTCAGTTGACAGGCAACTTCACTAGTCTTTCCATTGTCTGATGAAATGGAAGGGCAGAGGCCCCCTTCGTAGCATGTTAAGCTCTGGTGAGGAGGTAATCACCGATGCACACAATGATGCAAAGCAAGCTTACCTACATCTGGAAGTCCTTCCTTTCGAATTTTGAAAGTCCGCTTCCTTTCATGATCGAAAATTGCAATCATATCTGAGGAGCCAAGATACACCCGATCCACCTACAACATAAAGAAACTGACTGAGACAAGAAGGCTGAGCTTGGAAATTTCACTCTGACTTGAATTTATTCCGTAAATGAAATGTAGTATCTTATTGGGTTACATCGGGAATGATAAAGGCTTCGCTAATTGTTACACGGGTAATAGCACTCGTCTAAAACATTACCTCAGATTCAAATGTTAAAGCATCTCCTTGTTCTGTGAAGCGCTTTTTCTCGCATAGGTTGTCGAGGTAGTCAAGTGTCTCCAATCCCTCAATTCTAACTTCACTGCTAGTGGAAATTAAATGAAGTTACCCATTATGCTCAATCAGAAATGACCATATCCAGCAATGTGCATGTAAAAGAGTGAGTTGACTATGGAGGTACTTAACATGCAAGAAAATCCAAGCATGCAATAAAATTTAACGTTTATAATAAGTCAGGCACTCTGACGACAGTAAGTATTAGCTACAATTTGCTGAGCCACGTTTCCAGTTATTTTGCGAAGTCTCCATTGTCTCTTCTGTAAGCCCATTAAGTTTCACACCGTAGAAATATCGGTCGATGCTTTTAATTTCTCATCGATGATCATGAGTCATACAGTATATCAGTTCATCAAAATAAAAATCTTATAAGGCTGCAAGCTGCAGACAATCGTGCTGCATAGCTGTGAAAACATGCAGCCAAGAGACCTTTTAACTGCAAAAAAGGGGAAAACACAGTGGTGGATCCACTTGAAACTTGATAAATTTGGACTCCCGGAAACACCATTGAAACTCATAATAGTATACTTTAAATTTGTGACTTGAATCTTTAAAACATCAATCTTTGCTCCTAACACTGAAGTATTTTTACTCAAAGGTCATTAAGAATCCTATTTGTAAGGAGAAAATGAGTCGGTATGACTGCTGATTACCTGATATCAGATATGGAGAAATATGTGTGATACGCCATTGAAAAACTGAACGGTTTGCAATTGATGTTTCTGACGCGTGATATCAAGGTCAGGTACCCTTCTGCTGATAAAGACACCCTAAGGCGATACTCGAAACTGAAGAGCAAGATCCAGATTAATAATGTGACCATAAATAAAAAAAAAATTCAAAAGTATCTCACTAGACATGCTTCAAAGCGAAAGAGCAGTATAAGAAATGGCTCAAAACCTTAATTATCATGGAGTCCTCAAAAGCAATTACTCCACAAAGTACATGCTTTCTTAGCCTTAATATCAACCGCGAACCATGTTAAATAGGAAGAACCTACAAGGAGTTCAAGAAGACATTACCTGTGTGGCCAAATCTTAAGATCATCTTCAGATGGTTTAAGAAGCAGGTCGATAAAGGATTTGCCACTGGAATCGCTAGGCTGTAGTGGTGGAGGATGATCATCCATAACCCAAATCTTGTTCCTGGCAAAGCCATGTTGCTCCAGTGATCCTCGTGTTCCAAACTTGATGTTCAAAATTCAATCTGTCATTCTTGTGTATACCAAATTGCTGAAGCAATCATTAGCACAAAAATAAATACCTGTGGGAAACAAATTGGAATTCCTCCTCGTACTGGGGTTGGTGGCATGAAGATTGCCTATAGTATATACAAAATCAAGGTGGAAAGAGGACAGAAATAAGGATGAGAAGCGAGCACTCAACAACATTTAGGCAGTTTCAAACTCAGCCAGAAAGAGTAACAGACTTAATCAAAACCGATGATGGGAAAACAAGTTCCTCAGGGATTGATAAGTAAGAGAGTACAACATAAGACTTCATGAGACCTTAAAAACTCTCTTGCTGTATCTTGACATCATGAAATTATAGTGTATTTTAGGTAATATTCAACTTCTTTCAAAATTAAACAAATACAGATCTAGCTAATGAAAGTATCCATCCATTCAAGGACGAATTTGTGTCAAAATCATTTACCTTACTGCTTATGAACAATAGTTCCTCTCCGCGGTCAGTCTTCCATGAAAGAACTTGCCCTCCATGCAAACTAACCTGAAAGATAAGAAATAAGAAATAAGCATGTAAGCTATGACATGCAATCTGCAGCATGTCATATATTAGGGCCAATTTCTTGCATCTAACAAGTTGAAAGGAAACAAATATTGTTCATGAACTTCAGTCATATACCAACAACTCCTTTGATACGGATATCCAGAGACAATGAAGACTCAAAGTGCATTATCCGACGTGCCCAAACCTTAACAACTTAACCTGCTTTGAGTTTTCTCAACTAGACATTTTCAAGAACGCTCATCAGAGAATGACCCAGTAACGCTCAAATGCCAAGAAAAATAGAATGGAGCAGCGGTTCATCAAGAAATTCATAAAGGTCTAACCCGGGCTGAAGCCCCGCGAGAATTCTGAAGCAGGACTTGCTCAATCCCGTTACGGTTCTTCACGACTTCGACGGAAGCTGTTTTTTTATCACAGGCTACTCCAGAGTGATTCATTTCAAAATTGCAAGGGTATTTGAATGAAGTAGAAAGAAAGTACCTCTCCTTCTCTCTCTCTCTCTCTCTCTCCCTCTCTCTCTCTCTCTCTTACTTCTCTCCTGTCTCAAGTTCTTGAAGACGTCTACAATGGCTGCAAGATAACCCAAAACAAGTCAGCTTTCACCCAATGAAATTGAGTGTCTCCGGGGACTTTCGTCAAACACCTTTCCGGTGACAATCCAAAACAATCTCGTGAACTCCAACCAAACAAAAAAAAGTTGAGCTACCATTTCCGCCTACCTCACCCTTTTTATTACTTTCTCCCAACGCCAAAAGCGCCAACAGTTATTATCGTCCCTCGAGGCTCACCGACAGAGACAGAACCCGAATCCCGAACGTGGCTCGAAATCCACTCGAAAAACTTGAAGCCCGGATGGAGAAAAAATGCAAAACCGATGTGGCGAGAGGCGAAAAACGGAAAAGGAGGAAGACCATATATAGAGAAAAACCCCACTTCCAGAAACCTGACAAGACAATGCGTTGGATTTTGACAAAGTGAACGAGCAGATTCAAAAGTGGGTTCCGAAGACCATCAAATCCCACCCCCCCCCAAAAAAAAACAGAGACTTCCAATTGAATCTTTCAGACAAACTCAGGCATTTGACGAAGCCAAAAAGAAGGAATAAAGAGGAGAGACTTTTAGCTCTTGCCCACCAAACGGAGGCAACTTGAGAACGCAGCACACCTGTTCGGCAAAAGGCCCGGGGCTGAAGACTTCAAGAACACCCTTTTGGACATTAATTAACTTGGCATTCCCCTGCGACTCCGTCCGAGACTGAGGATTGGTCAGAGAGAGGAGACGACGACGACGTCGCTGGAGAGATATTCAGTCGAACCACAGCGCCGGCCGAACTCGCGTTCAAGACCGAGCTTTGCGAGCAGAAACCCGCGTGTTCTTCTTGCTTGGATTGTCGTTTGACTTTGTATCCTAGTGGCGGCTACTGTCAACCACCCAGATCCTTCGGATGTCCGAACGCACCCACCAGGATTACCTGAATTAACGGCCCCTTGAGCTTCAGGATAAATGTGCGTTTTCCTTCGTTCTAACTAATTTTTTTTAATATCTCGTATTCCAATCAAATCAATGTCTCCGTGACGGCTGATACTTCAGAGTTTATATGAATAGGACCCCGTTCGGAGGACCGTCCAAACATCGGATAAGATAACTCATCTCGAGCTCTATCTCTCGAGCTCTATCTCCCGCTCGCTGATCGCAATCTCGTCTGTTGCTCGGAACTCGCGCTTAAGTCACTTTTTATGTTGCCCAGAGGGAGGCCCGTCGAGACTTAAGCAGAACAACCGATTTCGTATTTGGAAGTTGGGAAAACAGCCACAGAAAAACTCAACCTTTGTTCATCGTGACACATTTATCTTGATATTTTTTTTTACGACATCAAAAACCTCAAACTATATCATTATGACACATTTATCCCAAACTTTTTTCTAGTGATATAAAAAAACTCAAAACTTGTACCTACGTGACATATTTACGCTTTGTTAAGGTTTCGTTAGGTGATTTTTCAATCAAAATCATATTATTTTTATTTAAGTCACGTGGGCGTCACGTCAATACTGTTTTCTTTTTTATATCCATGTAGGCAGATTTTTAACAGTTCTCATGAACAGAATTTTGACGGAGGGTAAATGTCTCACACACGGGTATAGATTTGGGATTTTTTATGTCATAGAAAAAAGTTTAGGACAAATGTGTCATAATAGGCATAATTTAAGGTTTTTCTGTATCTTTTTCCCCGTGAAGTTTAGTCATAATCTCGAATCATTTCTATGCATGATTACGAGCAATACTAGTATCAAATATCTCGAATCTTCAAATGGATCCTACCGACATGATTTGTCTCCGGGAGATCGTGTGGGACTTGTGCGAATCCCGCAAGTTCACTCCCATCCGTCTCTCCCACCCCCGTTTACTCCGCCCGCTTCTCGATTCCTAAATTCCCGATGCGTGCGAGGAAAATGGGGGTCCGAAAAGAAAGGCTCGACACGACGTGCATGCATCTTGTCATGGATGAGCTTTCAGCAGCTTGACTTTAGTACGAACGGGGGGGAGAGAGAGAGAGAGAGAGAGAGGGAATCGGCAAAAGAGCACACGGGTCACGCGAGCCATGATGATCGCTTTGGACATCGTGTGTGTTTTCCTCGCGTTTTTTTCCCCTGTTCGGCCCCTTTCCTAGGATCCTTTCCTCCTTCGCAAATCGTAGGTGACGAACGTGTTGCTCGGTCCTTTCGTTGAAAAAACGTGCTCCTCGTTTAATTTGGGAGCCAAGATTAGGATCACCCGGGCTTGCTCTTCTTGACCGAGACTGGTCTCCGCTCGTAACACCGGCGACGAAAAAGAGGGGAAAAAGGGCAAAGAAATTTCGATTGGTCTTAGTCACATCCATGGAGGATTTTGATCACTTGGCGGCCTTGAGTTTTAGACCTTCAGGGTCTCAAGTTTATTATATGTTATCCTTACTTTTCGTCACAAAAAGTTCAATTTTCGCTTCTATAATTCATTCATTGAAAAGAGAATTGATTATAATTTGCTACGCCACGTACATATATCGTGTCATTGTTATCGTACTAGTGACGACTAATGGAACTTTAATTAAAATTATATCACGGATAAGACCGTACTCGATACAGTCGAAGGATTTTGGGGGGGTAGACATGGCCACGGTTCAGGAACCGCCGGTTCCGGTTTGTGGCCATGTATGAACTGGCGGTTCCGGTTTGTGGTCATGTATGAACCGGCGGTTCTGGGCCGGTTTCGGTTCCGGCGGTTCCAGGCTGGTTCCGGTTCCGGCCAGTTCCGGTTCGAGGGGGAGGAGGAGAAAAGGGGAGGAGGCGCAGGGTAGCGAGGGGGGAGGAGGAGGGGGGCGTCGGCGTCGGCGTCGGCTGTGGCCATGGACGGGGGCGACGGTGGCGGGGGTTAGATCTGGGAAGACGGGGGGCGAGCGGAGGAGAAAAGGGGAGGACCGGAGGAGGCGCAAGGGAGAGGGGGGAAGGAGGGATTTGGAGGAGGAGGACTGGAGGAGGTGGGCGTGGGTGGGGGTGGGAACGCTCCTCGGCCTGGAAGGAGAGGCGCTGGTGGTTCATGGCCTGGGTGTAGAGCTGGGAGAGGGAGTTGGCGGCGCTGCAGAAGGAGGAGTAGACTCAGTAGAGGCTCCGGTCCACCTCGTCGAGGCGGGACGTGACGGACTTCCTCTTCTTCGCCATGGGCGGATCACCGGAGCGGGGAAAAGGGGGGGAAGGTAGGGTTTTCCTCTCCGATCGAATTCGAATCGCGAAGAGAGAGAGAGAGAGAGAGAGAGAGAGAGAAAAGACGAGAGAGAAGATGGCGGAGGGGGGAAGCTTGTAGGGAAAAAGGCAAAAAAGTTTGGGGGGATGCTGCAGCAGCAAATTTTTTTTTTTGGAACCCGAATCGGGTTCGGGCCCAAGTATTGGAACCGGAACGCCCGTAGGCCTCGGGCCGTTCCGGTTCCGAATGGCCCGGGACCGGTCCGTTGACCCCGGCCATTCGGGCCAAAACCGGCCCGTGGCCATGTCTAGGGGAGGAAGGGGATTTTGCGAGAAAGAAAAAATACAACCGAAATGCCGATACGGTCAACAAATTAGGGCTTCATATCAAAAGAAGGATTTTACTCCTCAATTATCTGGTATAGGTAAGGTCGCCAGGGAAGCCCCTCTTTTTTGGGGGATTGAGGGATATAGTGTAAGCATATGATCTTTCGTCCATATTTGGAAAGAATACTTATATAGTTTCTAACCTTTACAATGAAGCTAGCTATCATTCTTTTCTGCTGTCGATGGATCGAGATAATACTCGACATTAGCATTTCGTTTAGATGAATATTTGAAAAGATGCTTGAAATCGTACAGTTAGGACAGCGAACCGACGCTCAGACTCCTTTGATTACTCGAACTTCTCGCTACATCTTATGCAAGAAAGCCTAGTGTTTTAGAAAATAGTTTTCCTAAATCGGTTCAGCTGATTACATGTTCTAGAATACTTGAGACCCGCATCGTGATGGGTCAAACCTCGAGCGATTGGTCGCGAATGTCTGGCATTGGACCTCGATTGATGGGTCCATCTAGTCGAGCTCATATTTGTACAAAACGATCAATTTGATTTTGCTCGACCGAATTGCATTTGATGGGATCAAAAAGATGAAATTACCTGATTTGGTGCGCGAAAGCCGATCGACGTACCGCTTTTCCTCTCTTTATCGGGTCGATAGTACTGGCGGACGGTGGCAAAATGAAAGGGAAAGATCCCATCTACATGTCATCTTCGAAATTTTCACATCAAGCCTTTCTAATCGATTCGATTATTCGGCCTGAAAGGTTATGGGCTAATCGTAGATATACTTTCTCCAACAGCAACTATTGTTATCCCTTGAACGAAGCATCGTACTGTACATTTACCCTTCGAGGCAATGAAAAAGTAGCAGCGCCGCACGTCCTAAGATTCACGCAAGAGTCCGTAGTTAAAGAATCCGCAGCGTCTTTTTTTTATTATTTTTTTTTGTCGAATCCGCAATGACTTAGCTAAATTCGAAAAAAATGTTAAAAAATTATGGAAAAATTCGAAATAAGGACCTACAATGAGATCGTTTTCTCAAAAGAAAGTCCAGAGCGAACATTATTTCAAATAAGAATTCGAAGTGAACAGATTAGTTTCGAATAAAAGCATGAAGTGGACAAATCAATCTCGAATAAGGGCTTGAACACATTGTTCAGAAAAAAGGCCCTCAATCACTCTACTTCGGGCCATTTTTGGAATTTTCTCGAAAATTAACGATATTCTTAGCGAAAGTCGAAAAAATGAACTGCTCATATTCCTCGCATGCAGGAAAATGATATAAAATAAGAACACGAGGACGAAAGCCACGCGTTGCGGGTGTTTAATTAATAATTAATTGTTCAACCACAAATCCTGAAAATTTTCTGGAAATTTATTGAGATGTAGCTGAATATTTTTAGAGGGGGGATGATGTAGATAGAGCTAAGAAGGTGGGGTCACTACCAGATAAGTGCAAGGCCACTATGTACGAAATTGTTTTTTAGTTTAACTCTTGCTCTGACTAATTAATTGGTCCAAATTTGGAGTACGCCTGCGATCTATAGGGTATACCATTAGTAGTCCTAACCAAGAACTTCCGAGGTCTCCATGATAATTAATTGTTCGAAGGCTAGTCAAAGTGCACAATTTTGAAGCGTCGGGCAAATGCAATCGAAATTGAATGATTCGAATAGAAGTTGCTTGCCTCTTTACCGCGCCTATCATACTATCCGTCACATGTGTCATCTACATTAGCGAGAATTAATACATCACTGTGCATTCGTATGATGATGATGGCTATTCCTATAATATCACAGGCTGCTCGAGCCTTATTTTGCCACTCAAGTTGTATCATTTCGCATATGAATCGTAGGACTTCGTGTCCTCTCAACTAGGGCCGTAAACGGTTCAATTCGGTTAGGTTTTCTTGAAAAATCGAACCGAACCGAACCGTTAAGGAAGCACCCCTGAACCGAACCGAAACTCGCTCGAACCGAATTGGAACCGAACCGAAAAACCGATTTGGTTTGGTTTGGTTCGGATCAGTTTTCGGTTTTATTCTGTTGAAAGTTATTGAGCTCAGCAACCGGCGAAACCGAATGCAACTTCTCTCCTTGTACACCCCCGGCAACCAAGACAACACCATTTGTCGGCGACGAACCCAAAATCCCATCAACCCCTTGATTCACCTTCTCGTTCTCCACAACCCTGGGCTTAACCTTCTGCTCCGGAGCAAACCCAACCCCATTGGCAACCCCCACCTTCAAATCCCTCTCCTTCTCCTTCAGCGTCAAGAAGGCCACCCTCTCTAAGGCCTCCCTCGCCAGCGCCGCCTCCTTGACCCTCTGCTCCGCCTCGACCCTCGCGATGGCCGCGGCCTTGCTCATCGTGGTGCAGGCAATCTTGGCCGCCGCGACCAGAGCCTTGGCCGACTCCCTGTCGATCACCCTCCTCATGTCGTCCCTATCGTCCCCGAGGAGGGCGCCCCCCCGGGGGG